TCACTCACCCCATATATCACACGACCGTCGCTCCCTGAGCAGCGCGCCGGAGCACCGCCCAAAACCCACCACCAACACCATCACTCAACGGCCTTGTAGTTCAGGCCGTGAACCTGACAGCCGAGACCAGTTCCTCTCTCGGCTACAATCGTTTGATTAGGAAGGCGAGTTCAAACAGGCGCACCACTTATCCATCCAACACTCATCAACACATCGACACACGGTAGACCGTGCTGGCACGCCCGCGCACAACCGCACCGCACCCAAAAGCAGGAAACCGCATGTTAACGCATATCCCCTCGGCCCGGAACTCCAGGCTGTGAGATTTGCGCGGCAGACACATTCTCCCCATCATCCCTTGTCTTAACTTTACCCTTGTGGACCTTGTCCTCCGACTCCGCCACTTCTACACCTTTGAAATCAAGTACCCTTGATGATGAACTTTTAATCATACAACCCTAATTAACCTTTCTTGCCCACCTAGTCTTGAGTGAACTCGTAGATTCATTCCGTTGCACCAGCTCCTTGACAGTAAGATCCCTTGCCCGTTTTCTTTGGTACAAAGCGCCTCTGTGGTAGAATTTTCTGCTCCACCTGCTATTGTACCCCCCAAAAGCTTTGATAAACGTTGTTAAGTTGAATCTCCCCTCTCATAATCACCATCGAACCTTATGTGACTAAGAGTTTCCTTTCTTTGGCCGTGTACGAATACCCTTCTCTATTTAGAGCGCCAAGGGAAAAAAGATTCCTTCTTAGTTCCGGTACATGCCTAACCTCACGTAGGCTCTTAACAACACCATCATGCATCTTTATCTTCATTGTTCCCACGCCTAAAACTTCACAACTCGTTTTGTCTCTCAATGAAATCTTGTTACCCTTCCTTTCTTCATATGTATCAAACTCCTTCATATTAGAACACACATGAAACGAACAACCGGAATCTAGAATCCAAACTGAAGTAGAACTCCTACCCGAAGAATTTGCCAAGACTTCCCCGTTATGCTCCTCCTAGAGACCGGTCTTTTTGGCACAATGACTTCTTTCTCCACGAACGTTGCTCTCTGCCATGAACTGACTAGTTGCTTGATCAATGTGACCAGTCGCCTAGTGCTGCAGCTTCCTCGAGACTTCTTCTCCTTCCCGTTGCTCCTTCTTGCAATGCCTTGGATTCCTTCTTCCTTCCACACATCAATGGTGAGCCAAAACACAACATGATTCATTATTAACCTGAAGAAAATCGTCCATATTTAGGTAAGTACGAGGAGATTTCTCTCCTACATTCCATGTTTCTACACAAACTCGAAAAGACTGAACATATTGACTAGCATACATTTGAAGCTTTGTGCCACTTATAGATTGAGTGTCAAGTGCAGGATTGGACTGTGGTTCAGGTTAATTAGATGAGCTACTTCCTTCTCTCTCCTTCATGGTGAAAATCTTAAGAATAAAAGACTTATTTTTCACGTCTTGATCCCCCACAATCATTTTTGAAACTACTAATGTTTCATCAATTAGGTTCACAAGCCTTGTGATTAGGACAGTCTAAATCCATGTTCTCTTTGATTACTTTCCAATTATGGAATTAAGCAATCTCATATTAGTCTTTTGAAGGTTTGCTCTGAAGTCCTGCCAGGGATTTGGAACATCAAGTAATGTTGAAGTTGTTCAGAGTACTAATTTGCAATCGATGCATATCTAACAAAAATGTTAACTAGGACTATTTTGATATTAAAGAGCTGTATAGTTGTACCAAAATAAAACGGAAGATATTCACAATATACTAAACCGAAGAAGTATACACATTACGCAAAGTACCAAAATAACAAAACAATAGTTGATTGGATTAAGTTGTATCCAACATGCCAGAAATTAAGTGAAGTTAAAAGTGCACAAGCTTGTTCCCTATATTGGAATCCTTTAGAATAGCCTTCTTTCTGGATGGCCAATAATGACCTAGGGAAGACCCAAATCACCAGAATCTCGGAACTCAAACAAGAAAGTTATCATATTTTGTGACAAAATACTTATTCTCTGCACTGCATCCCTAGCTAGCAGTATTAAACTGCGCTAGAGAATTAAGGAGATGAAAAACATACGTAATCTCTCCAGTTAAAGCATCACCTACGGGAATGCAACTGCATTGTGAAGTCCTCTTTATTTGAACACCCACCTGCAGCCACTTTCTCATCCAGCAAACAAGCATCTTTCATTCTGATATATAGAGGATGACATGTTATGTCCTAAATAGACTTATACTAAAGCAGAGGCATTCATACGTATATAAGCTATATAGATAGCTATAGATTTCTGCACATGTTTATTGGTCAAAAGCATCGTTCATATACGCAATATATTTCTATAACAATTAGGTAAAAAGGTCTCTCTTCTCTGATTATATTCAATAGACAGTGCAGATATCGATGAAAATCAACTTAATTGCACGAAAAAAGTAGATGAAAGTTCAAAACTACTACATAGAACAATTGAGCTTCTCAAGGTTTCCTTCCCTCGCTTATAGGCAGTGTTGCATTGTACTATCTGTCACTAAAACGAAAACTTTCATATTCATCACTCAATGGCAATTCAGGCGCAATTTCTCCTGCAAACTCATTATTCCGTACTTCAGCCAATTGAACTGCCACAGAAGCCTGATTGGGATCTACTTGGCTAGAACCACTAGCAGCTTCGCTCAACGCCTTACGCATTTTTACCGCCTGATCCCACTTAGCAAGGGTATGACTTGTATGTTCTTCAAATATTTCCGGCTTCAACATAATTCCCATCTTCATTACAAGTAACCATAAACATCTGAGTCTAAAATTTTCAAAACGAAGCATAACAAATAGGAAATGAAATTGCAGTAGTTCTTTATAATCCTGCATCTCACCTGTGTGACAATTAGGTACAATGGTAAGGTGCTGTAACTGCAGAGGAACTGAATGAATGCTCTGTTTGCAAAGGCAAAGAATAAGAAGAAGATTATAAAAAATAAACAAAACATATCAGATTTATGAAACTATGCGTAAATATATATATTTATGAACAAGGTTTTACCCAATAACAAGTCTTGGGATGATATACTCAACTTTTCCCATCATGCAGGAATGAAATTTATATTGAAACTGCAAGACATTGAGCCACCAAGTATGATAAATGTACCGCAACCAAAATGATCCGGATAAAAAGTCACTACTAGGTGTAGGTAATGTTTAGATCATAATCTTACCAATGTCCAGAAGAAAAATGCCAGTTGTAAAGAATTTTGGAACAAGATGATATGAATCACAAAGAGAAGCAGATCGGGCCTACGGAACCAAAAGTGATCATTTGAAGGTTGAACAACAAAGTCCCGTTTATTTGCATTGTATCTCTCAGCAACCTCATGAGCCAATTGTGTAATTACGTGCTCCAACTTCGTGCCAACAGCAAGTAAAAGCTGTAAGAAAGGAATCACCATAAATATTGAGTACCCTATCCTATAAGGTTCCCTTTTGTAATTATGAGATTCTTGAGGTCAAATAAACGAAAGATAAAAGCATTCTGCTAATGTGTAATTCATACTCCACTACATATTTCTCGACATACAAACATCATCTATACTTATTAAGTTTAGAGGACGCTCATATCACATCATATGTGATAGTCATACATGTTGCATGCAAGTCATGTTATAATATCCAAAACTGTGATAAAGACAAAATCATTACTGCATTAGAACTATAGATTTGGAAAACTTACAATGAGAGGGATGAATGAGATCCAGAAATAGGCATGCCAACCTGCATGAAAAGTGTTGATAATGATCTCGTTATGGTGGATATTGTGTTTAAGCTCCAAATCCAATAGCTTCTGATTCTTGTCAATAAAACACCAATCTCACTTTGCGTTGGTTGATGCATCAAGTGATTAAGGACTCAAGATCTCTACCATAAACTATCAATCTCACTTTCAGGCCCCAAAGATCGAGCATCTTATGGAAAGCAAATGAGTTGTACCATTTCCTTATCAATGTATTCAATTCCATTCTAAACATGGTAGCTGACAGTGTAACCCAAAATTTTACTGAGAAATAAAAAAAACAGTGTAGTCATTACGAACCCAAAATTTAAACCAAAATGTAAAAGCTTACCCCAGACATTCAGCAACAAGAAGATGACCAAAAAGAACCAAAGATGCCAACTGCAAATGACATTTAAAAGTATTAGTGTGATTTATTAACAGAGGGCGCATTCCGAAGACATCAATTTGAGCTTTTATTTATACAACGGTTTATAATTAAATAGGAAAGTAGTTAAAGTTTAAATAAATAAAAAATTCCTTTGCTTCATGTGCTTGTTTAAACCTTAAAATTTAGGATAAGGCAGTAAGGGTGGCCCTGTCAATGAGGCTCCAACCATCACAGGGTTTCGGACTTATGCCCATTTTAGCAGAGACACTGTTTTCTGTTTCAAACATGCAACCTCTAGGTTGCTACTCATCCTCAAAGAGTGATGAGCTAACTCCAAAAAAGAAGAAACTAATGAAAATTAAAGCATGATACTTGTAGTAACTAACCTTATTCCAACAACACTCTTAAAATCTTTTTGAAGGACACGCATCATGTACTTGTAGAAATTGTACTTTGAACCTGTACTGAAATGGACCTACAGAAGAATTACATTAAATTTTGAAGCAGGAATTGTGTATAACAAGGGAGGAAAAAAGAGTCTGAATTAAATAAAAGGTCTGATATAAAATCTAAAGGTTAACATAACTTACATGCATGAAGCCTAGTCGCATCATCATATAATCCGTTCTGGTCACAGACCCAAAAAATTGCTTGAAAAATGCCAGCTGAAAACAGAGGATCGTTATAAGACAAGGGAGAGAAATATGCAACATTTCTTAGTAGACATTGGAGAGGGCATTTATCATCAACCGTTTGATACATCAATTATTGATCAGGAAAGGTTCCTTACAATGCATACTTTAGTCTCTAGCTAGCTTGTTTGATCAGATTTTGATATTATGATCCACATTTGTCTCAGTCTCAGAAACTATAAGAATTCTATACTTAAATGATAAACAGACAAGAAAAAAGGAAGCATCTGCCATTTTGCCCTGTGTTGAGATTGATTAAGAGTTTTTTAGGTTCTTTATTGAAGTTTAAAGTTTGACGGCCAAAGATGTTATGACTCACCAACCAACTTAGAAAAGCTGAATTGTTTCCACCACGAGCCTGGATAAAAAGACGGGCGTGTGTTGATGAACTGCAAAATGTACGATTGCCTTCTTCTAAATAGTACTTATTTTCTGCGACAGAATCCTCCCACTGTTTCCATTCACGAATCTACTCCAATGTTGAAAACATGAAAAGGCAAATGTAAAAAAAGAAAAAGGAACATTACAGAATTCGAAAGCACAGAAAATCATGACAAGATACAGAATTAGTCCATTAGACAGACAAGAACAGCAAAAGCTGAGAAAATATGAGAAAGTTACCCTTGCCCATGCAAAAAGAATGGTCAGAATAGAGAAAGTCGCATGCAACGTAGCTAGCACAAAGATGAACATCTGAAGATGCTGCCAAGCAGTGGCAGTTAGCAATGGGACCTTCCCCTGGAAAACAAATTAGATTGAAGGAGGAAATATATCAGATTTCCTAGTTCTTGGGTGTGTACTGTGACCACCCTTTGGCAGCAAGATATTTTAAGTGCAAGAATGAAGCAAGGGCCATCCATTGAAGACATTAAACAGCTTGAAATTAGTAATCCAATTAATACCATTAAAAGAGGAAATTGATCAAGTAGGGGGTAGTTGATCAAATTTCAATTCATTACTCCCCTATTCCTAAGTTCCCTAATTTCTTATTAGTTCCTGTTGGGTTTTTAGGGTGAAAAGGTGAACAACAAAGTGATTTTATTTATTCCATAGTAGATGGGTACAACGCTTATTGGCCTTCAACAGCTAGAAATTGTTTACTAGGCTTATTGGCCTTTTTCACTTTTTGGTGGCTATTTGGCCTTTTCTCTCTCTTAGCCTTTGTACAAGAGACATCATCTATTTATACACTAAAGCTGCCGCCATTGTCCAAGTCGGTGGACATGGCTTCTTCTCATAGCCACTACATTATAATATTATTACTTTATTACAAGATTTTTATTAAGAATTTTCTAGGAGCTTACAATAATTATTAAAGCTTAACTTTCGTAGATTTTTCTTGAGTTTTCTATTTTTTTTTTAGATTTTTCTAAATTCTTCGAGTGTGTATTAAATTTAACAGTTCCCTCAATCCAAGTACCCAAACATGTCATTGATGTGTTGTCTATCTTCTTGTAATTTGCTTTACAAGGTTTACCCTTTAAGATTCAATTAGTTGGCAAAGGACCCATTAGTGTGGTGGTTTGAAGTAATTGCTCTCCCAGACAAGGTCCTGAGTTTGAATCCTAACATTCGTGTTGTGTGTGCGAGCTTAGTATATTATCTCATCTCTTAATAGGAAAGGTCCTCAAAAGAACTAAAAAGATTCAATTAGTTGGAATCATCCATTGTACCTGTGAGTGCAAACAAATTATAGAATATTCAGATTGGAGTGCAAAAGTCACTAGTGTTAAATAATATCAATAACTTTACCAAAATAATAATAATAATATCAATAAATAAATAAATAAATAAATGAAAATATTATTTAAAATGAAAAGAAAGAGACAAAAAACTAATGATACAAGTACCTCTGAACAGACGCCCTTGGAGAGAGGACCTTGTTTCTTACAAGGAAGCCAATGACTGGCTTGTTTCTCCGTTATGCAGATTTTGCCTAAACGATCTTGAAACACCGACAGCAGCAGAGCTATAATCCCCAAAATCAACTCTGCACAATGTTAAATATACAACGGCGGTGATATATAAATATGTCCACGGACCTTCAAATATTCAATATCGATCAATTTGATCAATGAATGGAGGAAGAAGGACCTCGTTTAATCTTATGCAACGCCTCAAACACATGTTCGTAGGTCTTTTTCTCCAGATACTGCATGCAAACAACTGATTATAAATCAATTAATCTCTCTCTCACACACACAAATATATGCATGCATGCATGACTGATGAGATGAGAACTGAGATATGTTTATGTGGATATGAATGCCTTGTCAGTGTAGTAAAGGATTCTCTCAACAGCTAGAGAGATGAACACTACGACACAAGACACCGCAGCCACCACCCAAGTCGGCGTGTACTCTAACGTTGTTTCTCCTTCTGCCATGAATGAACAAGATGATCTATCTTATGTCTCTGTTGTGTCTCTTCCAAACACATACTAACTGTTTTCTTGGTCCCCTATATATACTCCATCCATTTCCATTGCGGAGACTCCTAAAAGCAAATTTTGTTTTCTTTTTGTACATGTAGGACAATGTTGCTCATTTCGTGGGGGTTTCACTGCGCTTGCTATGTCCAAATTGGTCTTAAATTAGGAATTTAGGAGGTGGAAACAAGGAATAGGGTTGACTTGCTGACATGTATTCAGCAATAGAGTACTTCTATAGTTTCTGATTATATGTGAATATATAAAGTTGGCATCTGGATGAAAAATATTACAAGAAAGAGGAGATGAATGTTCAAAACTACGTGGAACAAGTGATCTTCTCGAGGTTTCCTTCCACTTTCTGCATGTACATCAAAAGGCTGAACTTCCTTCTGTTGAAGTTTTGCTACTTAATTTATCACTTTGGGGTTGAGTGAGACGGTGAGATTTTTCATTTTGGTGACCTCACTGGCGGTCAGGCTCAATTTCTCCTGTGGTGCCAACTTCCACTGACGACTCATTAACTGTCACACAAGCCTCTTTGGGATCTACATGTTCTTCAAATATGGCCTTCTTGAATGAACTTCCCATCTTCACCATTGCCACCAAAAGATAGAAATCTCATTCTAAAATCTGGAAAAGGATAACAAGAAAAGGAATACAATTGCCTAAAAGCAAATTTTGTTTTCTTTTTGTACATGTAGGACAATGTTGCTCATTTCGTGGGGGTTTCACTGCGCTTGCTATGTCCAAATTGGTCTTAAATTAGGAATTTAGGAGGTGGAAACAAGGAATAGGGTTGACTTGCTGACATGTATTCAGCAATAGAGTACTTCTATAGTTTCTGATTATATGTGAATATATAAAGTTGGCATCTGGATGAAAAATATTACAAGAAAGAGGAGATGAATGTTCAAAACTACGTGGAACAAGTGATCTTCTCGAGGTTTCCTTCCACTTTCTGCATGTACATCAAAAGGCTGAACTTCCTTCTGTTGAAGTTTTGCTACTTAATTTATCACTTTGGGGTTGAGTGAGACGGTGAGATTTTTCATTTTGGTGACCTCACTGGCGGTCAGGCTCAATTTCTCCTGTGGTGCCAACTTCCACTGACGACTCATTAACTGTCACACAAGCCTCTTTGGGATCTACATGTTCTTCAAATATGGCCTTCTTGAATGAACTTCCCATCTTCATCATTGCCACCAAAAGATAGAAATCTCATTCTAAAATCTGGAAAAGGATAACAAGAAAAGGAATACAATTGCAGCAGTTCTATATAATCCTGCAAACCTCACCTGTGTGACGATTGCGTACAGCGGGAAGGTACTGTAACTACAGACGAACTGAATGAATGCTCTGAGAATGGATATTGGCATTCAGGAAGAAAAGGGAAAAAGGTACATATCAGATTTATGAAACTGTGTTGGGACACACATAAAAACACACATATGAACATGATTTTACCCAATAATGAGTCTTGGGATAATATAACCCACTTTCCCCATTATGCAGGAATCAAATGAATATTGATACTGCAAGAGATTGAGCCACCAAATATCATAAATCTACCACTACCATTTTGATATGGATTAAAAATTAATTAGTGGGCAATTTTTAGAATCCATTCTCACCCATAACCAGAAGAAATATGCCAGTTGAAAAGAATTTTGGAACAAGATGATATGTATCAGAAGAGAATCAGTCTGGGCCTGTGGAACCAAAACTGATCATCTGAAGGTTGAACAACCAAGTCCCCTTTGATTGCAATGTGCTTCTTAGCAACCTCATTGGCCAATTGAGTAATAACATGCTCCAACTTAGTGCCAACAGCAAGTAATAGCTGTAGGAAAGAAATCACCATAAATATTAAATTCCCTATCCTTAGGTTCCTTGGTTTAGTCTATATATTTGTGGAGAAAACGCACAAAATTTTGGATGACTGGAAGACAAGACAAATGAGCAAAAATAGACCTCATGCATCAAGTGGCTTCAATTATACATCACTACTACGAAGAATGAGCACATGCTAAAACAGATACAATGAGATGTGTCAAACCATCAATAATAGCCTTTCCCATGTCTTCCCTGTCTAATGCTCAGTAACCAAATTAACAGAAAGTGCCAAGAATGACTTGCTGAATATCGTTCTGGTTTTCCTTCACGTGAAAACTAGTTTAACTACTCTTCCCCATCACTTATAAGGAGTGATGTGACTTTCTTCATTTGATATGCACATGTGTGTGTGTGTGTGTTAATGTTGAACCTAAAAGACAAGTAAGGCTCAATGATCACTTAGGTAAAACACTTATTAATGACATTCATTTATGGTTGAGTAATTATATAGAGAATCATATCAGTGGTTTTATCTTTTTGTAATTATGATAAGTGTAGTTGATTAATTATGCAAACATTTGAAGTCAAATAAAGTTCATACACAAAAAAGGCATTAAAAAGCATTTTGAGTTTTAGAGCACATATCGCATCATACATCAAAGTTGTAATAAAGAAAAAATCAGCACTGCATTCGAAGCATAAATTTGGAAAACTTATTAAGGGAATGAAAGCTATCCAAAAATAGGAATGCCAACCTGCATATAAAGATAATAAGTGTCGGTAACGACCTTCGTGCAACAGACTAAAAATGCAAGTGAAGATTATGGCAAGTCTATACCCTGGGTTCCTGTTAAATGCCAATTCCATCAACTTCGGATTCTTGTCAATAAAGACCTCTACCATAAATATCTATTTCACTTTTAGGCAAGGAGATGGGGTATCTTATGGAAGGAAAATGAACTGTACTTAATTCTTTGGTAGACCCATCTATGTGGAAGCAAAATTTATAATAGAATTACAGGAAAAGAAGAAATAGAATTAAAGAAAACATATGATAGGAAATCTAAAAATTAAAATACTTACCTGAACAAAGCCATGTTGCATTGTCAAATAATCTGCTTTGCTCACAGACCCATAAAATTGTTTGAAAAATGCAAACTGAAAAATGAGGAGCCATGAGATAACGGATCAAAATGTGTGATATTGCTTATAACACATTGCATAGGTAGGCTTTTGAAATTAGTGTTTGATATATCAATTATTGATAAGGAAAGGTCCTTACATAGCATAGTATATTTTCCTTCAATTAGTTTGTTTATCAGATTTTGATATTATGATCCACATTTGTCAGAATCTCAGAAACTCTTAAGAATTCTTGTCACTGAAATATAAAAGTGATATAGAAGAAAAATTATCTGTAATGTTTCACTGTGTTAAGATTGATGAAATACTTCAAGAGTTTTAGTTACTTTAGTTAAGTTTTAAACTTTATCTACCAGGAAGATTGAGTAACTTGATGCAAAAAGATATTATGACTCACCAACCAACCTATGAAATCTGAGTTCCTTCCAAAAAACCCAGAACGTGACTCCTGATAAAAACAAGATCATGGATGGGGATGAGCTTCCTTTCCAAAACTGCACATATAATATTTTAGTAATAAAAAAATATTTTAGAAAAAAGCAGTCACCACTCAATCAGAGTTGGCTATGAAAGAAAAACAAAAGAATTGAGGCACTTGAGATATGAAGCTATGATACTATGAAGAATGTAATTGTTAACAGCATCACCTTCTTCTGGATGGTAATCACTTTTGATAGAATCCTCCCAACGTTTCCATTGACTCATCTACTCCATTGAAAGCATAGAAAAGAAATTTTTTTTAAAAAAACTAATAAAATACAAATTTGTAAGCACAGAGAAACTTGATGGCATATAGAATTAATCAATTAGACAGACAAGAAGAGTAAAAGATGAGAAGTTACCTTTGCCTTTGCAAAAAGAATGGTTAGAACACAGAAAGTTGCATGCACCACAGCTAGCACAAAGATGAAGATATGAAGATGATGCCATGCAATGGCGGATAACAATGGGACCTTCCCCTGGAAAATAAATTGGATAAAAGGATAATATATCAGATTTCCTATTTCTTAGGTGCGTGATCACCCTTTGATAGCATGATATGTCCAGAGCAAGAATGAAGCAAGGGGCATCTATAAGTCATTTAAGACGTAAAATAACTCAATTGGATATGTACTACTTAGTGACGCAATCAAATGCCAACATTATTTGAGAGCAAGCGAGCACACACAAACACACACAGGAAAATTACCCTAACAATTTATAATTAAAGGCTTTCTTTAGGCAGGCATCTACTCTCATTTTCTTATTTTCTTTTTTCCTTTTCTCCTTTTATCAAACCAATGAATTTGAAAAGAAAAAAAATCATGCCAAGTTATTCTGAAGTGTTCTCTCTGCCCAAAAATGTGGAGGGTTCAAAAGGATTGTTAACAAAAACTAAAAGTTTCAGGAATTGATTAAAGAAAATGACATAAGAATCTCCAAGTTCTCTTGTAAGGAATATCCTCAGGTGAAAATGTCTTGAAACCTCCCTATTGCAATACCTAAACTTTCCCAGGCAACTAGCTAATCTTCTTCCAAACGTCAGGTGATACCTGCTGAACTGCCCTCTATGGCAGTTCCTTTTATGGTAATTTCAAGAGAAAGGGATGACGAGAAGATTTCATTTTTTGCACACAAATCATACAATGCACTAGTGGCTGCTGCTAAGATCAATGTTTGTTTAATGGGTACCAATATCACCTTGATCCATCCATGAAACTAATCATAAATTCATAACTAGATCGAAAAGCACCCACTTTTAGTTGCAAATGGGATATTGGCAATACGTATAATCAATAAAAAGAAAAAGGGAAAAAAGTACATCTGAACAGTAGTGAGGAGCAGTAGAACTAGTACTCATGTCTTTTTTCTTACAAGGCAACCATTGGCTGGCCTGTTTCTCTGTTATGCAGATTTTTCCTAAACGGTCTTGGAACGTCGTCAGCAGCAGTGCTATAAGCCCCAAAAGCAATTCTGCAAGGTGAATGTACATCATCATCTAGTTGATAGTAATTCATAACACGCATATATCTACAACAGAAGGGTAGGCCTCAAATATTCACTATCAGTTGGATCAGTGGAGGGAGGACCTTGTTTGATCTTCTGCAAGGCCTCAAAGACAGGTTTCTGGGTCGTTTTCTTGAGATACTGCAAACATTTAATCATTTTATTTATGAAAAAACCATCATTGCATTTGCAGATATGAAGTATATATGATATGATTCTATATAGCATTGATCAGTTGCCAAAACATACACAGTAACTTACTGGAGGATCCATATAAGGCCGAGTGAAGGCCATTGGCCCCACTCAACCTTCTTTCTACCCATTGAATTGACCCAAGAAGCTGCTCGATAAAATGCCTCAAAGAAGCTGCTCGATAAAATGCTTCAAAGAAGCTGAGGCAAGCGCAAGCAACCGAAATTTACTTAGCTTCTTCATCTCAACCCACCAAAAAAACAATTCCTAGATAAATATATATGCATGAAATGAATGCATGCCTTGTCAGTGTAGTAAAGGACTCTCTCGACGGCTAGAGAGATGAGCACTACGACACTGCACACCGCAGCCACCACCCATGTCGGCGTGTACTCCAAGGTTGTTTCTCCCTCGGCCATGAAAGAACAAGATGATGATCTCTC